ATTTTTTGAACTCCTTATGTTGTTTGCATATTGAAATTTGCATTTAAGTTGTGCTCCAAAGAATATAAAAGGTCATGAGATCATCTATGAATAATGTAATTGGATCGCAAACATAGTAGACAATGCAAACTTTATAAAGACATTCATCATAAATCACACAATGAGAATGTCAATTTGTAATGATTTTGTGAAGTTAAAAATGTTGACAATGGAAAGGACGTTTTTTTTTTACCAATCATTATGCATATATGATTCAAAATAATAACATAAGAATTATAGATCATGGTGATTAGTTATAGGTGGACATTTATAAAGAAGATGATAAAGACAAGACAAAATTTGTGAAGAACAAAATATTGGGTGACTTATGGTAGGATAAAAAATATATATATTATTGTTTTTACAAAGCCAATATATGACATGTAAAAAGTTTTTGATACTAACAAGCATTATCTCCACCTTATGTATGACATGTGTGATTCTATGATAGAAATGATGAAAGGTATCTTATATCAACATGACAAAAAGAGGGCAATAAGGACTCCACCTATAAGGTGGCATGTGACATTATTCTATAAATATGGAATAAAAACAAAACTCCTATTCATTGTATAGCTCACTCGATCAATCCAATGTAACTATTAATATTCTCATTATTCTTTGCCTACCACATTTCATAACTATGATTCCTACTTATTAGATGAATTCTTTTATTAGGTATTATAGCCATGCTTGACTAAGTGGAGCTCTAAACTATGTTGCCCCACGGAAAGATATGGAGAAATCAAATAAGTGGAACAAAAAAATTCTCTAAATACTAATAGAGATCAATGATTAATTTGGAGTTCGTTGACTTCTTTGAATTTAGTGGTTCTTTTGTTGATCAAACTCTATAGCTTCTAAAGGCACTACAAATGGAAAAGTTTGATGAATAATTTATGGTGTTGACCCATGATTGCAAAGCTAAGCATTTTATATTATTAGCTCAACCAAATTCCTCATCCTATTACAAAAAAAAAATCAAACATACTTTAATAAAGGGTAATATTAACCACAATGGATATGAAAATACATGAAATCGCTAATCTCCCTCTTAATGAGCCATCTTTTTCTATATAAAGGTGAAGGTTTCATTAAAGAGGGCACGATTGGTAATGCTAATGATGATCGTGGAGTGCGTAAGCTCCAATTATTTCGAAGAGGTCATTGATATTTATTTGTTTTATAGATTTGTTGATACTTTGCAAGCAATACAAATATTGAAAAGATATGTGACAACTGAAAAGGATTAATGAATATTCATGTCATCAAGCGTTTATTTTATTGCGAATAAAATTTATTTTTCTTTTACCAGCAAAAGATTTATTTTGTGAAATATATGTATATGATATTATACTTCATCCTATAATGTCTTTAGTAGAGAATAGTAGAAATTATATATTTCATATTAATAGTTTATAAAGCATAACATGTTCATAACATGTCATATCCTATTTTTAACAGTTACGTTATACTACCATATCTGTCTCATGTCATAGTTGCACCCTCATGTATGTGTTCGTGCTTTATACATAAGAGAGAGAAAATATCACCATGAGTATATATGTCATATAATACCTCTAATGTTCATTTTGTCCCTCTTCCTCTGTTTAAAATTGCGCAATGAGAGGCGCGCCTTTGCGCAATTCCTCCCAAAAACGCCTCATAGCCTATGCAATTTTGGTCTTGCAAGAGGCGTACGCCTCACAGGGGCTGAGGCGTGATTTTATTGCATCTACTTTCTTATTTTCCATTATTGCTATTATTTTCCTGCTAAAACCCTTAATTTTTCATTTACGCAATTCTGTGTTCGTGAGGCTTACGCCTCAGACCGCCTCGAGGCTTACGCCTCGCCTCACGGACGAAAACCGCCTCGAGGCGCAGTTACGCAATTTTAAACCTTGCCCTCTTCCAATTACAAAATCTAAAAATAATTGGAAAGAATTGGTTAAGTTCTTCATTCTAATATCTGTGTAATATTTAGAAAATCCTAAGAGAGCTTCAAATAAAAAATATGCAAAATAAGGAAATAATAATTACATAATAATTATAAAAAATCATAAAATGTTGAGTTAGTAAAATAATTATAATAATTAACAAATTGATAAATAGTCAATAGGGATCCCACAAATCAATAAAGTGATAATATAAGAGAAAGAAAGAGGAAGAGAATATTGATAAGTGTAGATCCTATCTGAAAAACATTATGATAGCATTTCATACTCACCCTCAACCAATAAATGGATGACATTCTATGATTGCGTGATAATTTTTAAAAAAATGCCCGAAATAACTCTTTGGTGAGAATGTCGGCTAGTTATTCATATGTGATTACGAACAAAGTATAGATACAAACACTATCAAGCTTATATTTTATAGAGTGTCCATCAACTTCAATATGCCTTATATGGTCATGTTACACAAGATTGCATATAATATTGATGGTTGACTAGTTATTACAAAAGAGCCTCATATGAAAGTTTGTGAAGGTTGTTGAACCTTTAAAATAGCTCGAGGCTAATCAAGAGGGGGTGAATGGGATATTTAAAAAAAATTCTTTAAAAAATTTTTCACACACACACACAATAACCGACACACCGGATGCGGAAATAAGCAAATTACACAACAATGAAATAAATCAGATTTTTCAACCACATATATAATTGCATAAAAATAAAGTACATAAAATAATCAGAATGAACACACAAGAATTTATAGTGGTTCAATCAATCTGACATACGTCCACTCCTTTGAGACTCCCTCTCCAAGTATTACACTAAACAGTAATGACTCTCATTTTGCTCTCACAGCAAGGCGGAGAAGCTCGTACAGACGCTGTTTCACCAACCTAGTGCGGCAGAAAACCGTGACTCTTTTACAGGCAGAGAACCTCAACTCTATTCCCCCCCCCCCTCACACCAAGTGATGGTAGAGAACCACAACTCTATTTTCACCCTCTAGGTGATGGTTAAAAAATCAAGATCTTTGTTGAAGAACTTCTCTGGAACCACAGAGAATCAAGGCAGACGCTTGTACATACTAGGCAAGATTCTTGCTTAAAGCAACCTTATGAATCACCTCACAACTTCTCCCTCTCTTATCTCACAAAGCTCTCCTTCTTCTGTCCCTTAAGGCTCTCTTTCTTGAAGTCTAAACAGTCAAAGATTTTTTAATAAGAGTATTAGAAAATTTAAGTAGTGGGCTTCAAGAAACCCTAATTTTCAAGAGTTCCATCTCTGTTCGTACCGTACGATACAAGCATAGTACAGTACGATCAGTACAAAACTAATTTTGTCCAGTGGTCGTTCAAACGAATTGTTTATAACTCACAACACGTTGTACCGTACGATCATAAGAGTCAAACACTTATATTCAAATCATTAAAGATATGTATGCATTAGCTTATATTAAAATCATTAAAGATATGTATGCATGAGCTATTACTTGTGTTCAAACACAAGGTGGTTTGACCAAGTATTTCCTATTTCAGTTGGATTACATCAAGGATCAGCCTTAAGTCCATATCTTTTTGATTTAGTCATGGGTGTTCTGACTAGACATTTGCAAGAGGATGTACCTTGGTGTATGCTTTTTGCTAATGATATTCTTTTTGTCGATAAGACTAGAGAGGGAGTTGAAGGTAAACTTGAATTATGGAGGTCAACCTTACAGTCTAATGATTTTCTCTTAAGTAGATCTAAAGCTGAATATATAGAGTGTAATTTTAGTAGCAATATACCTAGTAAGGGGATTGTGACTTTGGCCGATCAAGTCATTAATAAAAGTACACGTTTTAGATATCTTGGATCTATTGTTTAGAGTAATTGTGAAACAGATGGGGATATTATCAACAGAAGTCAAGTTAGATGGTTGAGGTGGAGGAATGCTTCAGGATTGTTGTGCGATAGAAAAGTCCCCGTCAAACTTAAGGGAAAATTCTATAAGATTGTGGTGAGACCTGCAATGCTTTATGGTGTCGAATGTTGGCCATTAAAAGAGAAGCATAATACTAAGTTAAGTGTTGCAGAGATGAGGATGCTTAGCAGGATGAGTGGTTTAACCCTTAGAGAAAGGATACGAAATGAGAATTTAACTTTTAACATGACAAAATGGCGAAAAAGGATTCATGTAGCCGACCCCACATAGTGGGACAAAGGCTTGATGTTGTTGTTGTTCTTGTATCCTATTACAAGTCAAATTCTCATCTAAATCTAATAAAGAAAGGTAATTTCTAATATTTTTTAACCAAGTCTTTTTAGGTCTACCTCTACCTTTTTTAATATAAGTCAAATCTAATGCATCTACTCCTAACCAGGTCATCGGAAAGCCGCCATTTTATGTGATCAAATCATCTAAGGCGACTCTCTCTAATCTTGTCTTCCATTGGAGCTACTCCAACCTTTTCACGTATATACTCATTTTGTATCATGTCTTTAAGATTAAAGCCACTCATCCACCTAAGCATACTACACAAATTGATGAGTTCACAAAATAGTTAGAATAGCCCACAAATTGATGGATACCTATTAAGGGTCCCTTGAATCAATGAGATGGCAACAGAAGAGGAAGGAAAGAAAGACCAAGTCTTAGTGAGTGTAGGTCCAAGCTAGCGGAAATCATGCAGGCATTTCACAATGTTGAATAAGTTTTCACAATGTTGAATAAGTTCGAAGCATCTCAATTAATGAGCCAATTCTCTCATTGTCATTCATAAAATTCTACACAGCTTTGGATTCTACGTATCACCTGAAGTGCGAAATAAAAACTAAAATTCAAATCATTAAACATGGATGTATTTTCCCACTCATGTCACATATCAACAAGCCAAGCAAAAGAACATACAAGGCCTAATGGAAAGCCAGATACACGCAATTAACAGACATGACATTATCTTAGAGAGAAAATATCAAATGGTATAACATGGATATATAAAATGGCAAATATTTCCTCATTTTGAATACCTGAAACACCCATAAAATCAGAAGCTTTTGATTCCCTCTGGACAAAGACACAACCAAGGCATTTGCTGCAGACCAAAGAAATTCAATAGCAAAATAATTTATCTTGCCAAAGATCTTAAGTACAACTCAGAAAGTATAACATATCATAGAAATAGAGAAAATATAAACATACAGAATAATAGGCATCAAAAGAGAACCTTCATAAATAATTGAACTATAGCCTCATGAATAAAAAAATCTAGCTAGATATTCGGGTAGGAATTAACCTAATAATCCCAACTAGAGGAAGCTTGGCTACTGATCTCTTGGGTCGTCAAATCCAATATCAATTTGTATGAGCAAAAATAAAAAAGATAATACGTCAGGCAAAAGTTGCGAAGTAAAACAAAGTCTACATCCTGTAAACAGCAAACATTGAAAATTACAAAGGTCCAAAATGACATTTGTTGGATTACCTTGGCAACAAAACTGGGAAAAGAAGATGACATGTGATAGAGAATATCCAAATACGATACATGGTTCGATACAATCACCCCTGCTCTTTTAAACTCATCGGTTTGCTCACTGTGCTCATCCTGAACACAAATGGAATGGAAAAATATATGCATATTTAGCCCAAAACATATAGATCAATTAAGAATTAAACTTATACTTGGAAAATAAGTAATAATTCGATTTTAAATGTCAACATAAACCATCAGCATTAGCTTATTACTCATTCTTGCAAAAATCATGCCAAATTTATTTGAAGAACATAATTATTAAACCTAGAAATAGAACTAAATAGAAACAAATTTGGCAATTAAAAGAAACACAACAGAAAAAAAAAAAAAGAATGCAATTAGTTATTTCTTCTACTTAAAAAGATATGGTTCTCGAGTTGGAAACTCATGCATAAATCTTACTCATAGGCCAAGAAAGTAAGTTCATTTTAGTTCAATCCACCAAAAAGTATAGATCAAGTGAAATTCCACAACAGGTATGATTCACTTAACAACAAAGAGAATTATCTAATCAAAAACAGCACAATGACATGAAGGATGTGCATTAGATCATGGTAATAAGACTAGAAATGCTATACCAAATGAAAATGATCATGCTGCATTTTTCTCTGTGATGAACCTATGGATGTTGAAGAAGCTTTAACAAATGAATTTTGGTCGATACCTCTGCCATAGGAATTGAATCAATTCATTAGGGATGATCATTGAGAGTTAATTCCATGACCTACGGTATGAAGTGTTATAGGAAGAATATGAATATTTCAGAATAAACTCAATGATATAAATATAGTAAGTTAGGAATAAAGCCACAATTTTAGCAAAAGGTCTTAGTGAGATAGAGAGTATAGATCTTGAGGAGACCTTTATACATATAGCTTATCTCGAAGCCTTACATTGCTACTATCTTTTGTGTGCTTTAGGGGCTTTAGACTTTGTCAAATGGAGGTTAACTATACTTTTCTAAATGGCATTTCTTAGGATGACAAGTTCGTGAAATAACCCCTTGGATTTGAAAATGTAAATCATTTGGATCACATCTTTAAACTTAGAAATGTAAATCAAGTAAGCACAATAAGCATGGTTTGATAAAATGAGAACCTTTTTCGCTGAAGCATACTTGTAAGGGGATTGTAAATTTTAGCTAAGTTTTGAAAATACTAATTCTCGCATGCTTGTTTTCCAGATTTATGTAGATGATATTTTTGTAGGCTCCACTTATGAAACATCGTGTATCAAGTTTTCTCAAAGTATATAGGCAATTTTTTTTTAATGAGAATGAAAGGATAACTTATCTTTTTCTTATGCTTTCTAGACAAGAGGAAGAACTTTCCTAAGTCAAACCAAATAAATTTATGAAACTATTAAGAAATTTGACATCAAGATATTCAAGGCTGCAAGAAATTATGAGCCAATCCATTTAGCAAGAAGAATCCCAAAGAAAAATCTGTGATGTTAAGCAGTATGGGAGCATGATAGCCTCTTTATTATACCTTAGCGAGCTGACCTGACATTATTTTCAATGTTTGTTTGTGAGCTCGTTTCCAAACAGATCTAATAAAGTTTCATTTGATTGCAATTAAGCACATATTTACGTATCTTATGGTTACACTTGGTTAAGTTGTTTACTATCCGAAGCATGATATTTCATTTGATCTTGTTGGGTTTTTTTTTTCAATTGACTTTGTTGGTTGCAAAGTAAATAGGAAGAGCATATCACAAATTTATTAATTTATTGGATATTCCCTTATCTTTTAGTCTAGTAAGGGGTTGTTTGGTTGGAGGAAAAGTGAATACAAAGCATAATGAATGCTTTGCTTCATCACTTTTGGTGTTTGGTTGGTCATGAAGTGAAGTGAAGTAAATTCCTAATGTATTCGTAACTCACCGCGTTAATTCATTTTCCATGTAAAGCAAACTTGCTCAAAACCAAGCGAAAAAAAGAATTCCGCGGGCGAGATAGAGCAGCCGGTGGGAACACATTTTTGTTTCTTCCTCCTCTGACGGGAACCATCTTCAAGGTACCCAAGAGTGGAGAGCTCAGCCTCTATTGCCTTCCGCACATGAAATCACGCCACGCCACCCATAGATTTTCTTCGCACAAGCATTTGGTTTGTATCCATATCCCTCTCCCTCCTCTCAATCCGCTCAAAGGCAAGTAATTTTGAAACGACGATGTTGTAACTCATCATTCGTCTTGTCGTAGCCGGCGGTTCTTGCTTATTCGGCTGTGACAACATTGGCTTATTCGAGAAGGATGCGGAGATCCGGAATGGGCCCGGGAAGTATACGATGAGAGGTAGATGATTGGGTGGGGAAGATGCGGATAATCTGCGTTGTTTGCAAGAGTGCTCCAATTGTTCTCTTCTGCTCAAGGTACCCAAGATGTTCCAATATCTTTTGAACCATTTTGTTGTGGACTATATTGTTTTAATTTTCTTGGCTATTCGTTCATAATTTTCTAGGCCGGCGAGAACACATTTTTGTTTTCGGGAGGATTTTTTGGACTATTAAGCTTACGCATTGCTACAGATGCCATTTTCATCTTCTCACATCTCACCATTTACTTGTAATTCAAAAATTGTTTCTTATTCTAATTGTTATTTAGTGAATTTTAGCAATGAAGAGTAAAAGATCAAGAGCTGAAAATCATCTATCCCAAGGAGAGGATTGAAAATGAGGAAGCCTATGACCAATATTGGATATCACTGATTAAGGATACAAAACTGTCACTACAAGAAAATCACTCCTAAAATTTTTCTTGATACGATTCTTCAGTTTATCATTCCTCTCACACATCCATACCATTTGAAATTTCTCTTCATCATTTTTTGCAAATCTTCATGTTAATGCACAGAGCATAGTAACCACTCTCTCTCTTTATATGCAATTGCCAAGTCAAGATAACAACCAATAACTTTCAAAAGAATTTGCATATCACAAAAAATAGTTTCAACCACATGTTGCCTTAGTATGATTGGACGAATGCAAAATCTATCATTTGAAACATACTTATGCGTCTTGGAAGTAAAAACAACAAAATAGATAGAAGAAAAAAGTAAGAATACAAATATGGGGGCTGAGTTTTTATTGCCTCTTCAATAATAACGAAAGATATAATTGATCTACAATTCGAGAGGTAGATCGGCTCTCCCACAACCCTAGCCGACACTAGGAATCTCACACACAACCTTAGAAAATAAACTCAGCTTACATCTCCCACTAACCCTAAACAAAACACACCCTTAAATAGCCCTCAAACACAATAAGCACAATTGAAACCTTCCTAGACACAATTAGAAAACATTCCTAAATAATTAAAACCTTCTTAAACAGCATAAACATAATTAGGAAACTTTAATAAAAAGCTTCCCCTTGATTCCACCTCCTTACATAGTGAAAAATAGCTATCCTGGGCCCCATAAGGGGGGCCGAAATCTACCCTTCTGCTACCCTGGTTCCGCCCAGCCAAAGGGCTAGTTTGACTAGGGCTGGGCCGGTCAGTTGGGCTAATCTGGGCCAGACCACGAAATCTACCCTTCTGCTACCCTGGTTCCGCCCAACCAAAGGGCTAGTTTGACTAGGGCTGGGCCGATCAGTTGGGCTAACCTGGGCCGGTCTGGCTACGATGGCCAATTATACCTCAAGTAAATGGACTTGTAACATACCTCAAGTAAAGGGACTTGTAACAAATGCTCATGTTATCCAAAATATGCTTTGTTGTAATATCATTTCTAAAGCCAATTATAGAATGAACAATACACCACACACATCACCACTCACCTACTTTTGTATAGCTCAATGAGAATTTAATATTACAAACACTCTCATTCTCTATTAAGCATCTGACTTCTATCCATAATACTAACATTAAAGGGAAAATGGCCAAAATGGTTTCTTGACTCTTCATGGAAGACCAAAATAGTCCACAATTATATTAAAGGATCATTTTGGTCCCTCAACTCTTTAAAGAGGAGCCAAAATAGTCCCACCATGGGACTCTATTTTGATTCCTCTTTGAAAACTTGAGGGACAAAAATGATACTTTAATATAATTAGGGATCATTTTTGTCCTTCATAAAAAATTAAGGGACCATTTTGGTCCTTTTCTCTAACATTATAGATCAACCAACTTTGACTATTAGTGATATCATTGCATTTATCTTGAAATTAAAATTCACCATATTATATCAATTAGCCAAACCACATTCACGTCTTTTCTCCAATCATTCATTCCATATTATTTATATTGAAAGACTGAGCATTAGGGACATCAATGGTAGTGTTGAAGAAGGCGAAGAAATAGCTCCACCACCTCCTCCACAAGAACAACATTAGCATGCTTGTTCTCAAGATTCTTAGACGAAATATTTTCCTATAAAATTTAAAATTAAGAAAAATATTTCACCAGAAGATGAAAGGTGGCAGCAATAATAATAATGATGTGATGCAAATCATACATGGTTCTAGGGCAAAATTATTTATGTCAGAGATTTATGATATCGCCCATCATGACCATCATATTAATGACTAACCAGAGCATACTCTTATTTTTTATTAACAATATGAATTTGTATCCCTTTTGTAATGTCAAAAAGTAGATCCATCATGTTATCAATTGTTAAAACTTATTTTACATATGTCAGATCAATGTGAGGAGGGTGCTCACGTGTCTATATCTATCTACTACTTCAGTGTTCACTTGCTACTTGTTCTAGCTAGTTTGTCCTAATATACTATTTATAAGTTTTCACTTAATTATTTCTATAAGCGTACCTAAATTTGAACATCATAATTTTCACTTAATATTAACATCTATGCATAAACTAAAGACTTTACTATCAAACCAAAATGATTGTAAAACCAAAGTATATTTGTCATCATAAAAAATGAGAAGACTGAGAACCACATGAGCTTAAGCATCAATTAGACTTTCGATAATCACAAACATAATTTGATCAAGGGCAATACTTCTGTATTTGAGTAAAGGTGCAAATCAGTTTTGTTCAACAAGAGTTTCGTAAAAATATAATCAAATGCTAAAAAAATCCATGATTCAAATTGAAGCTAATGACAAATCAGCTTGAATGTATAGAATCTGTCATGCCATAAATTCAAGCATCAACAAAAACTTAATTTAATCTTCTTTTATTATTTTATTCATGAATGAGGAAAGGACCAAAATGGTCCATCAATTCTTCGTGAGGGGCCAAAATGGTCCACAACTATTTTGAGGGATCAATTTGTCCCTCAACTCCTCCAAATAGGACTTTTTATTTTGTCGTCAATTTTAAATGAAAAAGTGAGATGGTCACGAGGGTATTATCGGAATAAACTAAGAATGTTCTAAGAGATAGTCCCACAGCGCAGAGCAACATATTAGTGAATCCTCAAGGTACAGTCAAGCCCTTCTTCGACCCAAGCAACCAAGCAACTAAACCTAGGGGTAAATCTAGCATCCTGCATAGCAGAGTAGCATCTCGCAGTGCAGACCAGCGGCATGCAACACACAACCTCCACTTCGGCTACGACCCCCAGTGTCTCACAACGCATCGCGTCGATTCCATAGTCCTGCAACGGCGATCGCATCTCGCAGGATCGATCGCATCAATCCTGCAGCACATCCCCAAAGAAGTAATTGTGTCGATCCCTAGCGTTCCGTCGATCGCAGTCAATCCCAACATCCGTCAAGGACTTAGCATGGATTCTCCCTTGTTTAACTCACATAATAGGATTTGAGCCCCTCGTAAATCTCACGGCAGAATAAATCATTTGTTTGTCTAACTTTGCCATAAATCTCGGTTTTACTAAATCATGTAGTTCAGCGGATTTATGGGATTTGGCCAAAAAAGAGCTTGAAAGGGAGAAAGTTACCTTTACAGCGAGCGAGCTCTAGTGTTTGCTTCCAATCAAAATGTCATAACTTACGATCCGCCGGAAAGGGAATCTCATCGAAGGAGCGAAGTCGAACAGCAACGAAGGAGCTGAAGAAGCGACTCGTAGAATTCTTAAGTGATTAGTAAGATAATTTATAATTAAAGCTAACTAAAAATACTTAAATAATTAATTAAATTGTTAGTGGGATTATTAGTTAAATAATTAGTTATTTCAAAATAATTAGAATGATTAAATATAATTTCAAATAAAATAATTACTTAATAACATTATAAATAATACTTAGATAATTAATTAGTATAACAATATTTAAATGATTAAAGAGATAAATAAAAATATAATGAGTAATTAAAACTAATTAAATAATATTTTAAAATTAATTAAAGCATTAGTAAGAGTATTAGTTAAATAATTATTTATTTAAAAAAGTAACTTATTAATTTGAGAATTATTAATATAACTATATATCAAATGCTTATTAAACTTACACATATACAAGTAATTTAATAAATAACACTATAACTGGTAATTAAATTATTTACTAATTAAGCAATTTTCTAATTAAATTATGTATCATTAAAATTTAACAATAATCCTGCTAAAGTTAAATCCTACTTTTTCCAAACAACCCCTAAGAGTTGACGAGACGAGTATATTGAAACTAAACTTTTTGAAATTATTAAAACTAAAAATAGTTATAATTTTTTATTAAAGAAAAGTTTAATAAAATTTTTCAAAAAAATATAATCCCTAAAAATTTACATTTACATTTATTAAATATTTTGATTAAAAAAGACCAAATTATCCTCATATTTAACACCATCAAATCTACCATTAGATGGAAGGACCAAAAAAAGGTCCCCTTTGGAGGAGTTGAGGGACCAAATTGGTCCCTCAAAATAGTTGGGGATCATTTTGATCCCTCACAAAGAGTTGAAGGACCATTTTGATCCTTTTCTCATTCATGAATTATTATGCTAAAAGTATGGATAAATTTTAGAATGACTTGCACACATATAATTAAAATCAAATCATTACATTATATTAGTAAATAAATAAAAAATTTGCCAATTCACATTGTATGATATTAATCATAACGTATTATTTGCCAAAATTCAAATCATAGCACAACCTATTAAATGATAATCAATTGCATTAATTAGAGCAATATATGGTACATATTGTAAGATGACAATCATAATGTACCACCTTCGTGACTTGCTCTAAAATGAACAAATCATAATGTATGATTCATGATCGGCAATGTGATCACCCAGTAATTTGAAATTTGAAATTATTATATGTATTGATGACTGATAGATTGTGCATTAATATATGTTTTGAAAAACAGCCCTCAAGAGAAAATAACAAAAAGAAAAAAAAAACTAAGGCTAGTTTCACTCCCAAGTCATTTCTCTTTCTAAAGTTTTATTCCTCCACTTGCAAATCTAACTCTGTGAGGTTTGTGTACTAATGAAAGAGAGATCAAAATCTCAAAGTATTCACCTTCTCCAAAAGAAGATTAATAATATTTTGTGCAAGAGTGGTCAGTTCCACACCTTGATGATAGGGTATTGCAACCTAGTGATTTGTGCTAATAGTGCCAAGCTTCTCTCCTTTGAGCTAAAACATTGGGTGACTTCATTGCCCTTCAAAATGTGTTTGTTGAGAGGCTTCTCCACCTACAGATGCAAAAGAGAATAAGTGAAACTCTTTAGAGGAGGATTAGGGGAGTGGATGTAAGGCTTCAAGTGGTTGAATCACTATATTTTAATTTGCATCCTTTATATTTTTCACACTTTATTTATAGTTATTTATCATATTGCATTCATTCCTAAATTGTTGTGCAATCAAAGAAAGGTTTTAATATTATTTCTAAAATAATCCAATTCACCATCCCTTTAAGTTCATGTCATTATATTCTTTTTTACTGCGCATCTTGTCCTATATCGCATTAATAAACCCTAGACCCTTAACTGACATACACCAAATAAAACCTGTCAAGGTATGGTAATCATTCAAGCAATAATCTCATAGTTAGGATTATCCTCACACAGCACTAGCTCTTCCGATTGATGCATCAAATAGTTAATCACCAATAACATGTGACGTAGCATGTGGCGAAGAGAAGGTTTGCCTGTGCCAAAATGAGAGATGAATTAAAATGATGCAGACAAGAATACAAAGAATGAAAAAATGAGAATTATGTAGATAGGAAGTGGGAATGATAGGATAATAGATGGTAAGAAGCATGAGAAAAAGTTCTTCCTACACATATTCAATCATGGTGATCATTAGAAGTGGTAACAAGGTGTCAAAACAAGATTGGATTTTTTTTTTTTTTTTTTTTTTTTTTTGCTTGGATAATTTGAACTATATATACCCCCAAGTGTCATCGATAAGCAGCAGTGATAAAATCAACCATATGCCCTCTTTTCCAGCATGCTCTTCATCTTTTTTTGTTCTCCAGATCAGGACAATAATCTTAGAAAGTAGTAGGTTGCATTTAGGTGCCTGGCCGATCAAGGACATTAGTGGATTGATACTGCACTGCCTAAAATTCATCAAGGCAATTTGTACATCCATAAGCACCAATATCAAAACGTTTTATCACAATTTACTCCTAGCATAAGTTTCCATAAGTTGTTCCACTACTTACCCATTCTTAAACACCTATATTTCCGTATCTAGATGTAAGAAAGGACTCATAACTAACACCATAGTCTACTCTGCCCTTTGTAGCAAGTTTGTCCACAATGCACAGAATTGATCAAAGATCGAAATTTTTGCAAATGTTCAATAAGTACACAGCAGATAGGTGCAAACTATTTCACAGCTAAATATTCGGGAAGACTTGATAGGAAAATCATACTTCTCATGGCATGACAGCACTAGTTTGCCTCCGTATTCTGCATGGTAACTTTAATTCATACTTGGATTCAATTTTAGTAGGATTTATTAAATCCTGTAAATTCGGATTTAGTAAATCCTAGGCTCATAAATCCTGAATTGTGTTTGGTATGACAACTTTTAAAAAATGTTAAATCTAAAGAAGTTTGACAACATATTATAGGATTTAAAACAGTTGGATAATTAAAATTGAAGGAGTAATATGAAGCCACTTAATTCGCTTCCGCGTCAAGTTATAAATTTATTTGTTCTTTATCATATATTATATAATAATTATTCTATTTAAAATTATATTTAATCCTACTAATTATTTTGAAATAACTAATTATTTAACTAATAATCCTACTAATTATTTAATTAATAATTTAATTACTATTTTATTAGTTTTAATTATAAATTTTATTAATAATTATCTCATTAATCAATTAAGAATTTTGTTGTTCATTAATTATTTCTATTATTAATTATATGTTTAATAATGTATATTTTAAATTATATTAATTAAGATAATTATACTAATTTTTAATTACTAATTATAGTACTAACTATTTAATTAAGTTAAATTAGATAATTAATTTATACACTAATTATACTATTAATTATTTAATTACTTAGTTATTAATATTTTAAATTATATTAATTAAGTTAACCAGTAATGGCTGAGGCGTCTAGGGTTTGCTTTTAATCTTCTCTTGTTCGTCCTTGCTATTCGGCTTCGTTGCTTCGCAAGAGGTGTAGAGATTGCACAAGTTGCTTAATTCGGCTCCTTCGCTCCTTCGACGACATTTACTTCCTGTCGGATTGGACATTACAACATTTTGATCTAAAGCAACGACGGGAGCTCTCTCGCTCGCTGTGAAGGTAACATTCTCCCTTTCGCGCGCTTCTTCGGCCAAATTTCATAAATCCGAGTAGAAATGGGATTTGAACTTACAAGGATTTACCAAATTTACGGCGTAAATCCGCAAATCCTAGATTTACGATTTGCCGGATTTACAGTGTCCCGATTTGCGTTTGGCTAGATTTACCGTAAATCCTACTTAAAACGGCGAATAAATTCAATACCAAACACCCCCTAAGAGTCTGAGATTTGAATACCTTAATCATCTGTCTCAATGATACAATACTACATTTCCAAGAAAAATCAAGCAGTTCAAAGCTAAAGAACTTAAAATGTTGTAGTAACAATCCAAAGTTCATAAGCATATCAATTTACAAAACTAAACAATATATATTACTGGAAAACCTTCAGTGAACAATAAAACAAACAAGCTCCTTCGAAACAATACCTCAGACAAGTACAATCGAGTCTCTTCGATCCAGTAAAATCCGAAGTTAAATAGCATGGCCCTCGACAAAAATCTCCCACATCGCACCACAACATCCCTCCTCCACCCGGTCATGTGGGCGTAGTCTTCCTGTTCGTCATTCCGATTCGGAGCCAAGAAGAGCGTGCAGAACCTACAGATCACATAGTATAGCACTAGGATGAAGATCCCCACCGCAAGTCGGATAGGAACGAGCGTCACCACCGCTATCCCGAGCAGGACCTTCTCCACCGTCGGCAGCTCCCCTCGTCCCATGATACCGTACGCATCCTTCCGCACGAAGGCACCATACTTCTTCTCCATCGCATTAAGACTCTCAGAGACAACGCAGGCCGCCGGCTGTGATTCTGACGCGGAGGATTTTGATTTGAGCAGCGGCTGCTCGGCTTTCCCTGACTGGTCTAGTCCGACGCAGCCAGAGCTGGGCGAGTCATCGTTCAAACAGAGGGATCCATTGTTACTGGCCATTTCCATTAGCTCCGTAGAAATTCGAGAAAATCTGAGAAAAACCCTATCGCTAGCACTGAAAGTCGATCATTGCAGGTAACGAAGCAAAAAGAAAGTTGAGAGCGAGACAGAACCGTGTATAAAGTACTCGTGATGTCACCCTAAGGCGCAGGTGGAAATGGGACGGCTCACCGCGTAAGTCAATCCATGAAACTCCAAAACAATTACACGCAAAAATGTATATTTAAATTTTATTACTTACGAGCCTAATAATTAAATTTTTAAATAACATCATATTCAATCTCCTCTTCTCTCTTTTTCTTCAATTTCACATTTAAAAAAAAAAAAACTTTCTCTCAAACTTTCATTCATTGTTGGATGCCTTGTCGTCCTCATTTTTAGCTGAGGTCACTTGATCCACGTCTACCCACAATCAACCATGATATCCAGTAACTTGATTCATAGCTTTTTGATTAAGAATCAATCAGCTTGCAATCATTTAACCTACATACACTTAAACATCTTCAAACAATCAATCAACATACACTCAATCAAGCTACAATCATCCATAGATATCCAATCACATTGATAAATCATCATTTCAACAGTCAACATCTGCTAAATTACAACTACCTAACAATTGCAACTCTACACTGCAATCAGGTAGCTCAATGCACTCTCTCTAACCTTATTCATGACCTAAATCAATTCAATATGAGCCTCTTATGATAAATCATTCATCATTGAACCATCATTGAACATTTCAATCATCAACAGATCCATCATATTCAATTGGGCTTCATACATATCAATTAACTCAAATCAAGCCCCCAAATGAACCTTGAATTTCATCAAACTTCTCTGAATATCACACCTAGTGGATTGGACATGATTGGTCACCCTGACCCAGCCAACAGTTGACTTGATCAACTGAACACTTGCTTGGTCAAAACCAAGTCAACTTATACAATCCTAGCCTAAGACATTTGAATGGTCAACACTCCTAGCCTAAGAAATTCCCTCTATGCCAGCTTATACATTCCATTTAAATATAATCTAGAAGCTTCCTAGACCTTATCTCGACTAGCCTTGCCCCTGGTTTAACCTAAGCAGCCTAGGTGGTCCCCCATAGGAGAAAGATCAAAGGTCGTTTTCACTATCAGCAGGTTTATTCACCTATTGTGTAATGAATTGAGATAGTTTTCTATCATCTAGTCAAGCTACATGATGCATCCTGGCCATCTAAGCTCCCTGTAGTAGCTGGAATAGGGTAAAACACCTCAAACATTCATTGAGATGACATTCACTCTACACTCACTCTTTAGCCATTCTCTTGTTAAGTTTTGCATTCCATATCCTTCTTAGCATTTCCCTGGTGTTTCCCGATCGTTTACAGCTTGCCAACGGTGAGGTTGACAAAGAACCGAAGCTCTGTCCACCCCAGTTAGTCAAACTCTTCATCCAGCCTCTGTCTGAGCTTGGAGTCTTCTACAAACTTATAATGGAGCTTCACAAAAGTAGAACAAACCCTTCCATATCCTCTATGACCATCTGTATATAGGTAAAACCTAAACCCTGCATGTTTATCTAGGTTTTAAATTAGGATGTTACACATAAAAAATAGGGCGTTAGACATTGCATAAATGGCCATATAATTGCCTCCATGCTCTTGCATTAATCATATTCCACCTCTGCCTAAACTTTAAAATGATTTGATCCATCGTATCAATCATATAAGATATCAAAAATAAAAAATAAACTTTCAGTTATTCATACATTGGTAATCTTTAACCAATGTTATCAATCTCATAAAGCTTGGAGATAATTTGATATCAAAACTAAACAATCCAAGTTAAATTAATAATAAATTCATTTAAATAATCCATTAAAAATATAATGTTAATAATTAATTAAAATTCAAAAAATTAAATAATTTATTAAATATTCCAAATAATTTAATTAAAAAAATTCAACAAAAATATAAAACATAAAAAGACAATCAATTTGATAATTTATTCCATTAACATTTATTTTAATTAAATAAATCTGATAACTAATCTTAATTAAATAATAAAGACCTTTCATGCTTAATGCTTACTTCCTTTTGGAGCATTAATTTTCTAAGTCCTTGAAACATCCTAAATCACATAATAATCCCTTTATGTAGTGCATAATTCATTTCATAAGGGCACATACATATTTTCTAAAGGAATTTTAATAAATTTTAAATAAACAATTAAGGGTTCATACACCATGCTAGCCTCCACTTATGGAAGGTATGGTTGTATAAAATTCATAATCCTTAATAAAATATTGACCTTATACATCATGCTTGATTCCACTTGGAGAGTATGTGTAATGACTTCAAAGGTCGCTCTTCTATCCCTTAATAAATCATTAATAAATCTTAATGTCATATGTGATCATATATCATATATGGGGGATAATGCATTATATTTGTAAGCCTTATGATTTGTAGGTTAGTAGTCCTCACAATTGGGGTTATTAACATACAAATTCTTTATAACTAAATAACCAACTTCAATCATTAAAACTTAAATAATAAAATCAAAATCCATTACAAGGTAAACATCAATAAAAATTCCCATTAGGCTTTAATGAACAAACACTTTAAACTCATGAAACCTAAACATTAAACTCCTATCATACATACCAAAGCCACGCAACCTCCTTCACACACTTAGATGGTTTGCTAGAATAAATAACTCTTGCTTAGGCTACGACATTGATGTGGATTGCTTGTCGGCTACTTTTTTTAGAGCATCTTGTGTGTATTTACTTATTTTCAGCAATATGAATGTCATGCATTTTAATTTCTATTGGTGCACTTAAGCTCTTTAAGGACTGCATTAAAAGCATTATCATATTATATAACTCTTCTACACATTCTATATTTTAAATGCTTATTATTTTTTATAGAGTCCTTTATATATATTCTCAACAAGAGTCAAAGTAGAATGTACCTAGGAGATATTGTATATAGATATGAGTCATTATAAATGTAGTTTGTATATAGATCAAGTTGTTTAGTATCCTGAGTTGTAAAAAAGTCAAATACTCCTATTTATACATCTAACTGGAGCTGCAAAAGATAATATCCTCTCCTTTAGAGGATAATCTCTTTTTGAATTCCATACAATATTTGTAGCTCGAAAACCTTAAGTAGATGTATTTGATTCTATACATATGGTAGGCTTAGAAACCCAATTTATTGAGGTGGAGCCCGGCCACCTTACTTTTTAGTAGAGTCTGAGTCTGTTGTAAACATTCAAACCAATAAATGAATAAATTTTATTTTATTTATGCAATCTTCTCTTTTATTTATATCATTTTATATATTACATTCTTATGGGTGGTAGCTTATATTAGTGGGTAGTAGTTTTCCTAGATTTTTCTTGATGTGTATGTTCCAAACTTTGTATGAATATGTATACTAATTCTAGGACAATGTAGCACTGGGTACTGTAGACACCAACTTCTTTCCCTATTCATGCATACATACATGCATATTTTTATTTCTCCTACTTATGCTAGAGACTAGTACTTTTATGCTACCGTGGGTAGGGTATTGGGGTCCTCATTATGCTTAGAGGATTCTATACTCTTCCTATTGGTTTAGAGCCACTTTGTTGTTGAAATTTCTTAATCTAAGAAATTTTAGTAGTTATAAAATTTAGTTATGTAAATCTAAATAAGATAAAATATATAGTTTTTAGTGAGTCATCTTATTAGCATCATTTATACTTAAAGTTAACATTACTCATATCGAGTCATTGATTTAGAGTCTGATCTAATCCTTTGATCTCCTAGGATAGAGTTGATCTTCTCGTACACTACATCTAAGATGATTACTTGTGTATTAAGTTGTTAGTTGGCAGCAAATTCCCAGAAAACGAAAGCCTAGAGGTATTTGCATACCTTACATTCCTTATAGAAAAAGTATAAAGAATTCAAATGTATTTTTTACAAAAATTAATGATACTTTTGAAGGAGTGAATGATATTTCCAAAATATATAATGAAACTCACATATATTTTAAACTTTAGAATAATTCTAATATCTACTTTAATTAAAAGTTTTCTCTCAAAATCATACTCAACCTCTCCTCACAACTCTCGCAACGTCTCTTTTCGAGCTATGGAGATTTGGAGGCGATCTAGGGTTCCATCTTCGTGCTGCTAGTTTTGCCCTCTTGGCGTGGATTTCTTGCATTTTTTTCGCTTCTTTTCTTTCATGTTGTTTCTTCATGTTCTTTTATTGTGTTGGGTTTGAGGTTTATTTGTGGTTTTCGGGCTTTGGGAGATGACGACTCTGTCGTCATCTTTCCCTTCGACTTTCCTCTTTTGCAGAGGGTAAAACTTGATCGTTCAAGGATATTTTTGATGGTTCATCCTCCTCTCCATCTATGATGCATTTTGTTCATACTTCATTTAAGGGATGTCTGGCTCTGATGTTTGAGGACTCCATGGTTGCATAGTTGGCTACTCCGTTTGCTTTAATGTTGGTGGGAAAGTTTCTCTTGAGACATCCGAACCTTAATGTTATCCAAAAATTTATTGCTAACCTAAAACTATCCGGTTCTTTCCATATTAGTTTACTTGATCAAAAGTATATTGTGATCCAACTTTCTAATGATCTTGATTATAGCAATATATTTGCTAGGAGATCTTATTATATCTAAGCGTGTCAAATGTGTTTTCTCAAATGAACACGTGATTTTTATTTTAAGGAGGAATCCCCTATTTCTCCTGTGTGGATTTATTTCTCGAATATGAGACTTCAGTTCTTTAATTCTCAAATCTTATTTGGATTGGCTTAGATTTTTGGAAGGCCTTTACAAACGGACCAAGCCACTACTTCTGTTTCCCGGCCATTCGTGGCTCAGGTTTTGGTTGAGTTGGATATTTCTAAGAAACATCCAAATGAGATATGGATTTGGTCGGAGTTGAAGGGGTACTTCAAAAAAGTGGAATTTGAAAACTTGCCCATTTTTTTTCTTATTGTAAAATGTATGGTCATGATATACCCCTTAAGTTAGAATTTAATGTTTTTGGGTTGTTCATTCTTATTTTTCTATTTGAGGTTCCCTCGATTTTGGATTCCTGGTGAATTTGGCCGGATTGGTTTTGCTAGAGCAGTCTGTTTCCTGGCCCTTAGTTTTGTTGTTATAT